AAATACAAATTTATAATAGCAATATTTTATTTGTTTATAACTCTTTATCACCGTCTCAACTATGATGATGTTCTAAGTTTCGTTTTTCTTTTATAATTATCATGAGTTCTATATTTAAAAGAAAAAAATAAAGAGATTTTATTTTTTAACATCGATGATTTCACAACGGACAAATTTACCATTTTGATCTACGCCAAACAATTATGCTTTACCTCACGCTTAAGATCTACTGTAAAATTTTTTCCATTTATCTACAAATATAATAATAAATCACATCTTCTGGAATTCGAACCTCATATCTCATGGTGTAAAAACATTAACGAATTCTTAATTAAAGGGATTTCCACAAAATAAAGAGTTTAAAACCGTTTAAAAAGAAGCCAATGAGAAAAAGGCATATGGTAAGGCAAATAAAAAGGTAAATATAAAACGAGAGGGGTCACTTTGTGTACGTTATATCGAAATTAGTATAGTGATGACTCTTAAGGATTACGGGAAGCCAAAGACCCCACTCGATTCTCCGCATCCTCAGAAATGGTTGAACATGATCAACTCTAATCATAATTTGTAATAGAATTTAAATATACATGTTAGAAGATTAATAGCAAAGCCGTTCAAATGTTGCTTGTGAGGAGACATTCATGCAATGCATTCCCTAAACTAAATGGTTCCTTTCGATTCCAAAAGCTAGCTTCATCATGCCGTATGGGACAAGTAAAAGAGAGAGATAGTAACTACTTCTCTTGTATTAATTCTTCATAACGGATAATGAAACACACGCGAGTGTTATGTTTTTATTTCTTCATTATAATTTTGTAGTATATAATTAGAAGGGCAATTATAGTTATTTAATTGAAGATTCTTAAAAAGAGGTGCCCACCTAGCTAGTAGCTACTTGCAGTATATATGTTTCATAAGAAGAGGATTTAGCTAGTGCTTTTGGTTAAGCCATCTAAAGTGAATCTATCATGGTTAATGGCATTTTATTTTAAAATATTATCACCAACTCTACTTTACTTTGATCTCCTTTAACAAAAAAACTCTACCTTGATCCCAATTTAATTACCTAAAAACAACTCTACTTTGATAGCTTTCTAAGAGACTGCGCATATATATAAGAAAGTGAATCTTTATGAAGTTTAAAGAGAGTGAATATGATCTCCACTTTAACCATGGATGATAGAACACAAAGCTAGCAGTGTATGTGGCAATATAAAAAAGCATAGACAAAGTTCGATTGCTGATTGATTTAAAGGATAATTATTCAT